GGGGGGGGGGGGGCATTCTACACTCGTTTTATACAATGTACATTTTGTTCAGCTTTGTGGTTGTTGTAAGATGTGATGGAGATTGTACAATCTGATTGGAATGTCTGTGACCGGAGTATACAATTCACCTCCATAGTATCCATACAGCGCTCTGATCTCCTGGACACTCAGCGTGACACTCAGGGAGACATGACTGCCAGCATCAGACATCATACAATTGTAACAAATCATTCCAATTACACATATCACAGAGCAAGATACAATGTTATCAGAGACAGGGAGAGGAGAAGAGGGAGAAAGGGAGGAGCAAATTGAGAGGGGGAGGGGCGAATGGAGAGGGGAGGAGCAAAGGGAGAGGGGAGGAGCAAAGGGAAAGGAAGGGAAGAAGGGAAAGGAGAGGAAGAAGGGAAAGCAAAGGAAGAAGTGAAAGGAAGAAGGGAAAGGAAAGGAAGAAGGGAAAGGAAAGGAAGAAGGGAAAGGAAAGGAAGAAGGGAAAGGAAAGGAAGAAGGGAAAGCAAAGGAAGAAGGGAAAGGAAGAAGGGACATGAAAGGTAGAAGGGAAAGGAAAGGAAGAAGGGAAAGGAAGAAGGGAAAGGAAAGGTAGAAGGGAAAGGAAAGGAAGAAGGGAAAGGAAAGGAAGAAGGGAAGGGAAAGGTAGAAGGGAAAAGAAAGGAAGAAGGGAAGGGAAAGGAAGAAGGGAAAGGAAAGGTAGAAGGGAAAGGAAAGGAAGAAGGGAAAGGAAAGGGAGAAGGGAAAGGAAAGGAAGAAGGGAAAGGAAAGGGAGAAGGGAAAGGAAAGGAAGAAGGGAAAGGAAAGGGAGAAGGGAAAGGAAAGGAAGAAGGGAAAGGAAAGGGAGAAGGGAAAGGAAAGGAAGAAGGGAAAGGAAAGGGAGAAGGGAAAGGAAAGGAAGAAGGGAAAGGAAAGGGAGAAGGGAAAGGAAAGGAAGAAGGGAAAGGAAAGGGAGAAGGGAAAGGAAAGGAAGAAGGGAAAGGAAAGGGAGAAGGGAAAGGAAAGGAAGAAGGGAAAGGAAAGGGAGAAGGGAAAGGAAAGGAAGAAGGGAAAGGAAAGGGAGAAGGGAAAGGAAAGGAAGAAGGGAAAGGAAAGGGAGAAGGGAAAGGAAAGGAAGAAGGGAAAGGAAAGGGAGAAGGGAAAGGAAAGGAAGAAGGGAAAGGAAAGGGAGAAGGGAAAGGAAAGGAAGAAGGGAAAGGAAAGGGAGAAGGGAAAGGAAAGGAAGAAGGGAAAGGAAAGGGAGAAGGGAAAGGAAAGGAAGAAGGGAAAGGAAAGGGAGAAGGGAAAGGAAAGGAAGAAGGGAAAGGAAAGGGAGAAGGGAAAGGAAAGGAAGAAGGGAAAGGAAAGGGAGAAGGGAAAGGAAAGGAAGAAGGGAAAGGAAAGGGAGAAGGGAAAGGAAAGGAAGAAGGGAAAGGAAAGGGAGAAGGGAAAGGAAAGGAAGAAGGGAAAGGAAAGGGAGAAGGGAAAGGAAAGGAAGAAGGGAAAGGAAAGGGAGAAGGGAAAGGAAAGGAAGAAGGGAAAGGAAAGGGAGAAGGGAAAGGAAAGGAAGAAGGGAAAGGAAAGGGAGAAGGGAAAGGAAAGGAAGAAGGGAAAGGAAAGGGAGAAGGGAAAGGAAAGGAAGAAGGGAAAGGAAAGGGAGAAGGGAAAGGAAAGGAAGAAGGGAAAGGAAAGGGAGAAGGGAAAGGAAAGGTAGTAGGGAAAGGAAAGGGAAAGGAAGAATGGAAGGAAGGAGGAAGGAAGAGAGGGAAGGGGAAGGTAGAAGGGAAAGGAAACACATGAGAGGGATGTGATGAGGAGATAGTGGGCGGGACGGGCGATGATGTGACAGAATAATATCGGATATCACACATTAGTAGATATGTCGGTATTATGGGGAGACATCGGACTACAATACACCGATCTACTATATACCGATGTCCTGTATACCGATCTAGAATACACTGATGTGCTATATACTGATGCGCAGTGCTGTGTCATGCTGTCAGTGTTGTGTTGCCATGGCAGAGCTCGGTGTGCGCTCGGTGTCCGGTACCGGCGGTGCTGTGTTGTCGGTACTCACCGTGCAGTGTGTCAGTCTCCCCCCATACACCGATCACCGCGAACAGATCAGGCCGCCGCACTGTGCGGCTCCAGAACCACCGACACCGCACTGCGCATCTATCTCCCCATATCCCTATCCTCTCCCCATATCAATCCCTATCTCCCCATATCCCTATCCTCTCCCCATATCCCTATCCTCTCCCCATATCAATCCCTATCCTCTCCCCATATCCCTATCATCTCCCCATATCCCTATTCTCTCCCCATATCAATCCCTATCCTCTCCCCATATCAATCCCTCTCCTCTCGCCGTATCAATCCCTATCCTCTCCCCGTATCAATCCCTATCCTCTCCCCGTATCAATCCCTATCCTCTCCCCATATCAATCCCTATCCTCTCCCCATATCAATCCCTATCCTCTCCCCGTATAAATCCCCATTCTCTCCCAGTATCAATCTCTATCCTCTACCCATATCAATCCCTCTCCTCTCCCCGAATCAATCCCTATCCTCTCCCCTCATCCCTCCTCCTTCTCTCCATATTAATCCCTCTCCTCTCCCCTCATCCCTCCTCCTTCTCCCCATATTAATCCCTCTCCTCTCCCCTCATCCCTCCTCCTTCTCCCCCGGGGGATAGAAGATGTTAACCTTAAAAGGAGGAAAATAAAACCCTGATCATATTCAGATCCCAACTGATCCCTACAGACGTTCTCCTGAAAGTGACTCCAGTCCCCAGAGTACAATCTAATAAATCCCTCCGAAGTCCCCGAACTCTGAGCAACAATGTATCTGATTTGTGTATAGGAGGGGTCAGTGTGGGAGGGGTCAGTGTAGGAGGGGTCGGTGTAGGAAAGGTCAGTGTGGGAGGGGTCATTGTAGGAGGGGTCAGTGTGGGAGAGGTCATTGTGGGAGGGGTTGGTGTGGGAGGGACCTGTGTGGGAGAGGTCAGTGTAGGAGGGGTCAGTGTAGGAGAGGTCAATGTAGGAGGGGTCAGTGTAGGAGGGGTCAGTGTGGGAGGGGGCAGTGTAGGAGAGGTCAATGTAGGAGGGGTCAGTGTAGGAGGGGTCAGTGTGGGAGGGGGCAGTGTAGGAGAGGTCAATGTAGGAGGGGTCAGTGTAGGAGGGGTCAGTGTGGGAGGGGGCAGTGTAGGAGAGGTCAATGTAGGAGGGGTCAGTGTAGGAGGGGTCAGTGTGGGAGGGGGCAGTGTAGGAGAGGTCAATGTAGGAGGGGTCAGTGTAGGAGGGGTCAGTGTGGGAGGGGGCAGTGTAGGAGAGGTCAATGTAGGAGGGGTCAGTGTAGGAGGGGTCAGTGTGGGAGGGGGCAGTGTAGGAGAGGTCAATGTAGGAGGGGTCAGTGTAGGAGGGGTCAGTGTGGGAGGGGGCAGTGTAGGAGAGGTCAATGTAGGAGGGGTCAGTGTAGGAGGGGTCAGTGTGGGAGGGGGCAGTGTAGGAGAGGTCAATGTAGGAGGGGTCAGTGTAGGAGGGGTCAGTGTGGGAGGGGGCAGTGTAGGAGAGGTCAATGTAGGAGGGGTCAGTGTAGGAGGGGTCAGTGTGGGAGGGGGCAGTGTAGGAGAGGTCAATGTAGGAGGGGTCAGTGTAGGAGGGGTCAGTGTGGGAGGGGGCAGTGTAGGAGAGGTCAATGTAGGAGGGGTCAGTGTAGGAGGGGTCAGTGTGGGAGGGGGCAGTGTAGGAGAGGTCAATGTAGGAGGGGTCAGTGTAGGAGGGGTCAGTGTGGGAGGGGGCAGTGTAGGAGAGGTCAATGTAGGAGGGGTCAGTGTAGGAGGGGTCAGTGTGGGAGGGGGCAGTGTAGGAGAGGTCAATGTAGGAGGGGTCAGTGTAGGAGGGGTCAGTGTGGGAGGGGGCAGTGTAGGAGAGGTCAATGTAGGAGGGGTCAGTGTAGGAGGGGTCAGTGTGGGAGGGGGCAGTGTAGGAGAGGTCAATGTAGGAGGGGTCAGTGTAGGAGGGGTCAGTGTGGGAGGGGGCAGTGTAGGAGAGGTCAATGTAGGAGGGGTCAGTGTAGGAGGGGTCAGTGTGGGAGGGGGCAGTGTAGGAGAGGTCAATGTAGGAGGGGTCAGTGTAGGAGGGGTCAGTGTGGGAGGGGGCAGTGTAGGAGAGGTCAATGTAGGAGGGGTCAGTGTAGGAGGGGTCAGTGTGGGAGGGGGCAGTGTAGGAGAGGTCAATGTAGGAGGGGTCAGTGTAGGAGGGGTCAGTGTGGGAGGGGGCAGTGTAGGAGAGGTCAATGTAGGAGGGGTCAGTGTAGGAGGGGTCAGTGTGGGAGGGGGCAGTGTAGGAGAGGTCAATGTAGGAGGGGTCAGTGTAGGAGGGGTCAGTGTGGGAGGGGGCAGTGTAGGAGAGGTCAATGTAGGAGGGGTCAGTGTAGGAGGGGTCAGTGTGGGAGGGGGCAGTGTAGGAGAGGTCAATGTAGGAGGGGTCAGTGTAGGAGGGGTCAGTGTGGGAGGGGGCAGTGTAGGAGAGGTCAATGTAGGAGGGGTCAGTGTAGGAGGGGTCAGTGTGGGAGGGGGCAGTGTAGGAGAGGTCAATGTAGGAGGGGTCAGTGTAGGAGGGGTCAGTGTGGGAGGGGGCAGTGTAGGAGAGGTCAATGTAGGAGGGGTCAGTGTAGGAGGGGTCAGTGTGGGAGGGGGCAGTGTAGGAGAGGTCAATGTAGGAGGGGTCAGTGTAGGAGGGGTCAGTGTGGGAGGGGGCAGTGTAGGAGAGGTCAATGTAGGAGGGGTCAGTGTAGGAGGGGTCAGTGTGGGAGGGGGCAGTGTAGGAGAGGTCAATGTAGGAGGGGTCAGTGTAGGAGGGGTCAGTGTGGGAGGGGGCAGTGTAGGAGAGGTCAATGTAGGAGGGGTCAGTGTAGGAGGGGTCAGTGTGGGAGGGGGCAGTGTAGGAGAGGTCAATGTAGGAGGGGTCAGTGTAGGAGGGGTCAGTGTGGGAGGGGGCAGTGTAGGAGAGGTCAATGTAGGAGGGGTCAGTGTAGGAGGGGTCAGTGTGGGAGGGGGCAGTGTAGGAGAGGTCAATGTAGGAGGGGTCAGTGTAGGAGGGGTCAGTGTGGGAGGGGGCAGTGTAGGAGAGGTCAATGTAGGAGGGGTCAGTGTAGGAGGGGTCAGTGTGGGAGGGGGCAGTGTAGGAGAGGTCAATGTAGGAGGGGTCAGTGTAGGAGGGGTCAGTGTGGGAGGGGGCAGTGTAGGAGAGGTCAATGTAGGAGGGGTCAGTGTAGGAGGGGTCAGTGTGGGAGGGGGCAGTGTAGGAGAGGTCAATGTAGGAGGGGTCAGTGTAGGAGGGGTCAGTGTGGGAGGGGGCAGTGTAGGAGAGGTCAATGTAGGAGGGGTCAGTGTAGGAGGGGTCAGTGTGGGAGGGGGCAGTGTAGGAGAGGTCAATGTAGGAGGGGTCAGTGTAGGAGGGGTCAGTGTGGGAGGGGGCAGTGTAGGAGAGGTCAATGTAGGAGGGGTCAGTGTAGGAGGGGTCAGTGTGGGAGGGGGCAGTGTAGGAGAGGTCAATGTAGGAGGGGTCAGTGTAGGAGGGGTCAGTGTGGGAGGGGGCAGTGTAGGAGAGGTCAATGTAGGAGGGGTCAGTGTAGGAGGGGTCAGTGTGGGAGGGGGCAGTGTAGGAGAGGTCAATGTAGGAGGGGTCAGTGTGGGAGGGGTCAGTGTAGGAGGGGTCGGTGTAGGAAAGGTCAGTGTGGGAGGGGTCGTGTAGGAGGGGTCAGTGTGGGAGAGGTCATTGTGGGAGGGGTTGGTGTGGGAGGGACCTGTGTGGGAGAGGTCAGTGTAGGAGGGGTCAGTGTAGGAGGGGTCAGTGAGGAGGAGGACTCTGGCATACAATGTATCTCTGACTCTCCAGATGTTACAAAGCTCTGATTCCGGAGACATCTCAGCCTCAAACCCTTCCATCCAGAAGTTGTCCAAAACTCTGCTTTTGGCATGAGAGTCTCGGGGGCACTGATGGCCTCCTTCGAGGGGGTTCCCTTTGCCCAATTTCACTGCAGAAGTCTCCAAAGCAGTATTCTGTCATCACGGGAGCGGTCAGCCTCTATGAAGGACAGTTCAGATGTCCTCCAGGAGGAAGCTCTCCTTGGCTTGGTGGCTCAGGAATTGGGCTCTGGAGTTGGGGAAGTTCTTTCTTCCATCGGGGACATCAATGGACAGATCTGTTTTCAGGTGCAGTGAGTGCTCGGGTGGCTCAGTGGGGTTATTACGCCCCAATCTATGACTTCCCCCCGAAACATCTCCCTTGGCTCCTCCATAGGATGGAGATGGAGGACATTCAATGGTCCGGGCCTATGTAGTACAACTCCCAGCAGACACTCTGTGGGCTCCACCAGACCATCCGGACACAAGGGCTGATTTGCCATCTGGCTTGTTGGTTGCTGGCTGTAACAACATGGTTCTGAAGCTTAGGTTCTGATGGACCGGGGGAACCCCTGAGTAAGGGGATCCCTACAATGCTGACACCTAGGAAGTCCGCTTCCTTCCAAGTCCATCATTAGACATAGACGGCTTACTTCACTTGGTGAGTCCAAGGGGCTTCCACTCCACAAGCTTCTCTGTGGGACGGATCCTTTCCTTCCAGCACTCTGGTCTAGGCCGGCGTTGGGCACCATCAAGGGTCAAGTCTGCGCTCTTTGTCTTCTATTTCGGGGACCTTTGTGCAGGGGGGGTGCGGGGGTGGGGGGTCACCCATATGGTTCCCGGGAATCTCTCTGCACTTCACAAGCCGCCAATTAAACCCATCAGAGACTCTCCCCTGCAAGGCTGTTCTCCTGAGTCTGAGCTGGTGGCCTTGCACAGGGACAAGGTGATGCTGAGGTCCAGGACGTGGTCTTGCCTGGAGTAGTCCTTGTCTGCATGTGGTCCGGTCTGTGCGAGCTTATTCCACAAAGACTGCTCCCCTATTTGTCATTCTCCCATCTCTATGTGTCTCATTCTTCAAGCTTATGGTTCTCAGGATCAGGTTCCCCCATTATATTTCAAGGCGCACTCCACTAGGCCTGTGAGCACCTCTCGGGTTTGTCAGCATCAGGCAACTGTCTTCTGTTCACACACATCCTCCAGGTGGCCGATTCTGCCTCTTCTGAAGCCAGCCTCGGGGTGCGTGGTCTTCAGGTGGTTCTTCTGATGT